CCCTGTCACCCCTAGTTATCACTCCTGTATCAAAGAGACAAAGGGAAAACCTAACTAATTTTGTAACTTTTGCTACTCTCTGAGTGGAAATGATAGAATCTTCATTTTATATAGCACCAGATTCGTCACTTTTGTGCTGAGGAAAAGGGGGATTCGCCAGGGATAACTCCACAGCACAGTAGGATTTTGGGGAGTGGGTACGTTTGGAGAGGTACAAAGCCAGAATTTCAGAAAGCAAAATAGTGTCAGTTGTAGTTCAGTGGAGAGTACCCTGCTGGACCCAGCACTCAGAGCCATGCACGGAGATGCTGCAAAAAGCAGGTCTCAGGGGGGAGTCCCAGGCTTGATTAGGGGAGGGAGCTTGCAGGGGACTTGCTAACTATGGTCCACTCCAAGGAGCTCCTTTCCTTTAGAAATAACCAATTCAGTGACCTAAGTGGGAAGCAAATTCAAAAAAGAGCTGATCTATATAAACATACCATTGATTCACTTTGCCATACAGCAGACATGAGCACAACATTGTGAAGCCACTGTACTCCAATAAAAATTAAAAAAAAAAAAAAATCACTCCTTCTGAAGTCAAACACCATGACTTAAATTTCGTGTGATTTTTTTTCTTGCCCAAAAGACTAACAATAAAATATTTTACTGAAGATTGTAAAAGACCCCTGAAGAAAATAATTGATGATTATTTGTAAGGACAGTAGCATTAATGAATTAATGGAATAATAATGCACTCCCTATAGTTCCACTTTTTCCTTCAAATTCTGTTCTCCCACAGCACTTGTCACCATATTACCCAGTTTGGGAATATGATAAAAGCTATTATCATAGCTGGGAAGCTGACAGAAGCTAGGAACTCTCTTTCCAGAAATGCACGAGTAGACAGAATTTTCCACAGAATTTCAGAAGGTTCATAGATCCCTGCTCCTCAAAAAAAACCACAAAACCTCCCTGAGACCTTGACTTCGCGCTTGGCATTACAGCATTTCTCTGTCACTGACTGGGATCTTGACCTGTTCACAGTGTTCTATACTGAGCATCAGGGCCTGCAAACTAGCAGCTGCTCGAAAGTAAGGCTTGTTGTTGACCTGACGTTTTAGGCAAGAATGGTGAAATGAGAGAAGTGATATTTAAAAATAAGAAGAAAGTATGTTTATGTCATGCAAGAAAAAAAAAAGATTGGCCTCTAAACTGTTTCCCTGTTTTGGGGGGATTTGGATCACTGGAAACGTTCACAGTGTAAAAAAAAGAGCCAATTTCTCTTATATAGACAGGAATCTGGAGCCTTGCTCTGTAGTTTCAAGTTGTTGTTGTTCAGTTGCTACGTTGTGCCCAATGCTTTTCCACCTTGTGGACTGTAGCATGCCAGGCTTCCCTGTCCTTCACTATCTCCTGGAGCTTGTTCAAACTCATGTCCTTTGAGCCAGTGATGCGATCTAACCATCTTTTCCTCTCTACCCCCTTCTCCTCCTGCACTCAATCTTTCCCAGCATTAGAGTCTTTTCTGATGAGTTTGCTCTTCGCATCAGGTGGCCAAAGTATTGGAACTTCAGCTTTAGCGTCAGTCCTTCCAATGAATAGTCAGGATTGATTTCCTTTAGGATTGACTAGTTTGATCTCCTTGCTATCCTAGGGACTCTCAAGAGTCTTCTCAGCATCACAATTCGAAAGCATCAATTCTCCGGTACTCAGGCTTCTATATGGTCCAACTCTCATATCTGTACAGGACGACAGGAGTAAGCTTAGAGAGGGGCCTAAGGGGACCAGAGTTGTTGTTTAGTCGCTAAATTGTGTCTGACTCTGCGACCGTGTAGACTCTAGCCCACCAGGCTCCTCTGTCTATGGAATTTCCCAGGCAAGAATACTGGAATGGGTCGGCCTTTCCTTTATCTTCACAATCCAGGGACTGAACTGAGTCTTGACAGGTGGGTTACTTACCACTGAGCCACCAGGGAAGCCCCAGGGGAAATAGGGAGGGCCGCCAAAATATCAGGATGCAGCCTAAAATCTGCCTTAGGAATCATGCTCCTTTCTAGAACCACTCCCCTAGGATGCTGGGTGTGAGGGGGCCAACAATGAGTGGTTCCAGGCACAGACTCCTAAGTTGCTTTCCCACCTGGGCTGCCAAGGCTCTATCTATCCTTTCTAGGCTCTGAACCTATTACTTCTGGCACTCTTGCTTCTGGATCTGAATTTCTGCCCCCCTCACCCCCCATAGCAGACTGCCTTCAGTAGGACTGTCATACTTGCCCCCGGGCCCTGAGCCCTGCTCGCAGAGAAGTCTAGGACTGCAAAGACAGGTCTGCAGGCAGTGAAGGACCTGGAAGGAAATCTCCTGTCATATGCTGGGGAAGCAGGTGATGGTTGAGTGCAGCAGTCCTCAACATTTTTGGCACCAGGGAATGGTTTTGTTAATGACAGTTTTTCCACGGATTGTGTGTGGGGGAAGGGAGATGCTTTCAGGATGACCCAAATGCATCACATTTATTGTGTACTCTATTACTATTACATCAACTGCACCTCAAATCATCAGGCATTAGATCCCAGAGGTTGGGGACCCCTGGCCTAGTGAATCTTAAGTCCTGACCTGGATTGAGAGGGAGGAAGAGGGGAGAATGAGGTGTCCTTCCTAAATACCTGAGTGTACCTAGGTCCTGTCAAGAGTGGAGGGTAAGGAATAATATGTCAGTCATCTCTGTGGCCTCAACCATGGTCCGGCCAACTGCCACCCTTTCAGTCAGGCCTCTGTGTGTGTGGATAACTCAGATGTATAATGCCCAACCTGGGGGAGGAGGCAGCGGCAGGAGAGTAAACCCATGCTGCTATTTCAGGGGGAGCACAGAAGTGGGCTCTTTCTCAGCCACTCACTCAGTGAATGCCTGCATCTTTGAGCGTGGACTTGGGAGACAGACAGCCCAGGTTCTAATCCAAGTCCTCCGCTTTTCGCCATTGTAACTCTGGACAAGTTGCTTACCTTCTCTGTGTCTCAGTTTCCTCAAGTGTAACATAGGGATGATAACACTACTGAGAAATGGAACATTTCCTTCCATATCAATAAACAAAGGATGTCACAGGCATCAGCAACTGCAGCCCTCTGGTGTGAGCTGGTGAGCCCTGAAGAAATTCTGGAAAGAAAGAACACCTGCCATCTAGTTTAGCCATTAGTCTGCAGCCACTCCCTACAGTGAGCCCTGAGGAAACTCAGGATGTGAAAAAACAGGATACTGGCCCCAGACAGCTGAGGTGCATGTGGAAGGAATGATTAAGTCCAGACTCATATCTCCCCATACATAGAAAAGCACTAAACTCCTTTTTTTTTTTTTTTGGAAAAGCACTAATCTCCTTAACATGGGATGTCTGGTTTTCCTTTAATCAACAATAATCTTTTGACATTCAGACTACGTGCCCTTTGTTGCAAAGTTTCTATATAACCTGGCTGCTCCGCACCCCCCACCTCACCTCTTGGAGCAGTTATCTCAGGGTTATTTGAGGTGCTGCCTCCAGGGCTTGAAGTCCTAAAAATTCCTACCCAAGAAAACATAACTCCCAACTTTTAAGTTGTGAATATTTTTTAAGTTGACAGGATCCTGGTGTTACACTGGTCCATCCAAATAATCCAGGAAAATCTCACCCACCCAAAAAAATCTTTAATCACCTCTGCAAAATCCCTCTTGCCGGCCAAGATACCATATGCACACGTGGATGATAACTCTGGGGACCATTATGCTGCCTCCATAGGTAGGGCTCCCCCGTGCACTGCCAGAGAACTCTTCAGAGAGCGAAGACTCTCCAAGAAGAGTCTTACAGGTTTAGTTCTTATTTGCCAGAAGAGGGGGATGTGGTGGTACAACAAAGAACTAGCACCTGATGAGATGCTATGTGAAGGAGAAACTGGGTCTGGAGCCCTGCAAGTACCTGGCATGGTTGTATGGCTGAAGAATAGCAAGGGGATACCTTCTGGAGATTATATTAGAGAGGATATTAGAAGCTGGGTCGTGAAGATTTTTTTTAACCATACTGAGTCTGAAATTTATCGGAAATGCATTTACTTGACCGATACCATTACTTTCGACTGTGCTACAGTTTCTTTAAAACGTTAGGGACTTTCCTGGTGGCCCAATGGTTAAGAATCCACCTGCCAATTCAGGGGACCCAGGTTCAATCCCTGGCCTGGGGAGATTCCACAAGCTGCAAGGCAGCCAAGCCCGTGTGCCTCAACTTCTAGCGCCCTCAGGTTGCAACCACTGAAGCCCACTAGCCCTAGAGCCCATGCTCCACAAGAAGAGAAGCCACCCCAATGAGAAGCCCGTAGAAAAACTAGAGAGTAGCCCCTGCTCGCCACAACTAAATTCCATGTGCAGCAATGAAGACCCAGCGCAGCCAAAAATAAACAAATAAGTAAATCAAAAAAACTTTCTCTGACACACTTTTTATCCTAAAGAATAATGCTCATGAAATCACAGGTTTTATCTGTTAGTTATGTCTTTTCAGACATAAGATGTATATATAAGATGTTCCTCCCCGTACCCTTAAAATCATCCACACACACCCATAAATGAACTCAATACTCTGAGAAACAGAGCCAGAGGCACATAAACCACCCAAGGGTTTGGAGCAGGGAAGGAACACGATCACGTTTGCCTTGGATCAATATCATTCCCACAGCATAAATCACTTTGAACTGAATGGAAATCAGTGAAAATCACAGCAAAAATACCATACATGAGACTTCTACAACAGCTGAGGGGAGAGATGAGAAATAAACAGAGAGACAGGGACTGTGGGAGGGGAGCGGAGCAATATGAAGCGGGAACAATATGAAGGTGGTAGAGCTGATGGATAACAGCACGTGCAGACTGGGGATGACTGCCAGGGTTCTGGCACGAGCAGTTCAGCAGATAATCATCTGTCCGCCAAGATGCCAAATAGAGGAGGAGTTGGTGGGGTGGGGAGGAGTGGGCAGGGTTGGAAGAGAAATAATTGCTTTGGTCTGGAACATGCTCAATTCGAAGTGTTTGTGGAACACTCATGTAAGTATGGGAACACCTGTGTCTGGGGCTCTGGACTGGGACATCACCCAGAGCTGAGCTGTCTAGGAAAAACAAGCTGTGAGCCATGTGTCACTTTAAATAGTCAGATGACCACATTAAAAAAAAAAAGAAATGAATAATATATTTTATATAACCAAACATATCCATAATATTCTATTTCAGGGACTTCCCTGGTGGTCCGGTGGTTTAAAGTGCACCTTCCAATGGAGGGGACTTGGGTTTGAGCCCTGGTCAGGGAACTGGGATGCCACATTGCAGCAGGTGGGGCATCTAAGCCTGAGCATCACAACTAGATAGTGCCTCAACTAAGATCCAACACAGTCAAAATTAATTCATTAAATTAATTAAAAGAAAAATCAGTTGTCCATTTATGGGTGGGTTTATTTCTGGACTCCATTTGGCTTCAGAAGTATTCTATTTCAAGATGAATCAGTATAAAAATCATTAAGCTATTTTACATTTTTTGTTTGTAGTCTTCAAAATCCAGTGCACTTTTCACAGAGAGCACATCACATGTGGGACATTCCAAGCTCTCAAAAGGGACCGTAAAGAGTAGTTACCATATTTATTGGACAGCACGGCTCTAGAAGCACTTGCTGAAGGCAGACCAGGGTGATCAAGCGCCTGGGTGACGGTGGAGGACAAGGACCCTGTTCAGACATTGAGGGTGATCAGATTTGCTAAGACTGGATTTTACAAGGAAGTGCACGGATGGGTCTAGGAGGAAGTTCAGGAGACCCGCTACAGGTTCAGCCAAGCAAAAAATCTTTGTCAGAATTCCACCCATTACACCTGATAGATATCATCTTTGGGCTGGGGCTGGCAAATTCGTAGTTGTAACAAGCCTCCAGCAGGTAACGTGACCCAGGAGAACCATCTGTTCAGTTGGAGCTGGTAGGACCGCAGGGGTATGGTTCCCAACAGGATGTGACTCTGATGAGCCCCCTGAGGAAGACTCATAGAAAGCTGATGGGGGGAAGGACAGAGAGAGGCTTGTGTTAGGGTAAAGGAAGGGAAGGATGAGCGATCTGGTGGATTATCTGATCCCGAGACATCAAGGTATCATGGCTTATGTAAGAGTCCACAAACTCCACTTGGCAGAATTTGACTCAAGGTGTTCTGGAGCTGCCAAAGGGCTCCAACCCCAGGGGCTGGGGAGGAAGGAGCGGTTTCTGAGAACGCTCGTCTCCCACACAAAGCAGGGATCAGCCTCAGGCTCGCCCAGCCATTCAGGTTTGAAGCTCTGCAGGGCTCTGTCCAAGGTCTCTTTCATTTTTTTTACCCCTCTACTCTCATTCCTGGTTAATCTCAACCCTTTCCGGGGCTACAAACCCCATTTACATGCTGATGGTCCCCACATTTGCATCTCAAACTCAGAGTCCACCCCCACCCCAAGTGGCAGACCTCCTTTTACCAATTACCTTCTGCCTAGTATATCGGGTGAGCACCTAAAATTTAACATTTCCAAAGCTGAACTCACCTCAAACTTGTTTGCCTGCTAATAGTTCCTGTTTCAACTAGTAACCTCACTATTCACCCTGTTTCCCCCAAACCAGAAATCTGGGGGTCTTCTTACACTTCTTTTTCTGATCACACACTAAATCATCTGAAGTTTCTTTCCTAGGTCTGAATTCCTGCAGCTTTGGGTCAGATGCCCTCGAGTCTACGACTGACTTGCCCAATTCCCTCCTCACTGGAGATGTGGCCCTGTTTTCCCTTCTGCCAGAGAAAGGATGTCCTCCCAAATGTGGTACAGCCTTCTTTTACAAGCTAAGCTTGTGAAAACCAAATCTGCCAAACTCTGCTGACTATGGCAGAAACACCAAACTCAGCATGAGACATGGATCTTCAGAGAGGGTCCTACTCACCTCTCTTGAGTGAGCCATCTTCCGCCTAATCTCCCAAGATCTTTTTTTTCCAGTTGTGACTTTTTTTTTTTTTGCTAAAAAGTAAACAATACCAAAATGCCTCGGACAACTCACAAAATCGATTTTAAAAGGGAGGAGATGAGAGGAATTAAGCGATCTTCATCCCCCTTCCCAGATTCTGGATGTCTAGAGTGCTGCCTGGGGAGTGCCCAGGCGATTCAGAGGCAAATCTAGGTTTGTCAACCAGTAGGTTATGCCACTCTGACAAAAGTCCAACACATCACATTAAAGAATCTAGGCTACTGTGTTCTTTCCTAACTTCCCGAAGGGCTACGGAGAAAAGACCGCGAGGAGCCTGCAACAGCCCAGTCTCCTAGATTGCACCTAGATCAAAACCCTGGGGAACTGCCAAGCAGAAATTTTAAGAATGAAATAGGCATCTGCGTAGCCTACAAACCTGACAACAGAACCTACTGCACCTTTTGGTTAAAAAACGAAACAAAACAGAAAAACACTCCTGCACCGAAATATATTTGGAAAATGCTGAACCATTCTAGAAAAGATTGGTTAGTTTCCAACTTCTCGGTTTAAAGGGAAGCACGAAAAGGCGTCGTAGTAAAGCATTTTACTTCACTGTCTTCAACAATGTATTAGAAAGTTGAAAACCTGAAAAAAGTAATCTCAGAAGCTGAATCGCTCCCTTGGGTGTTCATTCACACACATGCAGTACTAGGCTGCCATGTTGACTTGGACCTGTGGAGAGCAAACAATGTAACTGAGGAACCTTAAGCTCTGACTTTCTACCAAACGTATGAAACGTTCAAGAAACTTCGCAGGACGTGTGCGTGTTCACCAAGGCTCGTGTGAGCTCCCGAGCCAGGCTGAACAATAGAAAGGAGAATCGTTATTAATCAAACGCGCCGTCTGTGTTTCTAAATCCTTCGTCGCGGCAGAGGGGGCATTCCCTCTGCTCCCACCCGATTTTCAAATTGTCTCCGTGCTCATTGTCTGCCGGTAGGAACGACGGCAGCGCTCGGGGAGCAGGTACAGCGTCCCGCAGAACGCAGCACGGTTGAATCCCGCCAGGTTTTGGGAAACCATTCCCGGCCCTTCCAGCGGGTCAAGGAAAAGGAGGTGGCCCGGGCGCCAAAGGCTGCTGCCAATGCAACTCGCAACTTTTGAAATCAATCCTTTTTGCATCATGCAACGGATGCCACCGCTCCTCGGGCTTGCAACCCCCCACCCCTCCCCCGAGACCAATCATTGCCGCGCTCGGGCCTGCACATCGCCCCCGCCCCCTTTCCCGGGCCGCACGCAGCCACCGAGCCGCTCCGGCCGCGGCCCGCCGCCTCTTAAAGGGAGGGAGCCGGCCCTTAAAGGCCCCTCGCTCGCGGCGCACAGCGGAGCGCGGCGGCCCTGGTTCCCGGCAGGGGCCCGCCGAGTCAGGCCGAGCCCCCACGGCGCCCAGGCGCGGCCCGGGGCCCTCCCGCCCTCCGCGCCGTCGCCCGGAGAGGCCTTTTTATTCAGGCGACGCTTAAGGGAGCCCGGCCGCGCCCGGTGCATTGTGGGAGCGGCGGAGTCCCGTTCGCGGGAGGAGGCGGAGGGCGCAAAGCGAACCGGTAAGCGCCTGGCTCGAGGAGGGGGGGCGAGACACCAGGCTTAAAGGGGAATATTCGTCCGCAGGCCCAGGGCGGCCGTGCGGATCCCCCCGCGGGCCGCCCGGGCGCGCCGGGAGCCGTGCACGGCCGGCAATCTGCAGCGCTGCCTGGAGAGGGGCCGAGCCAGGGCTTGGTGGGGCCGCTTTAAAAAAGAAGCACCGCCCGCGCCGCCGCCGCCGCCGCCGCGGCCGCCGCGCGGGGCCGGGGAAGGAGGGAGGGAGGAGAGGGCGGGGGAGGAGTGGAGGGGGAGGGCGGCGGCGGCGACGCAGGGGTTAATTTTTTCGCCCGCCGACATTTTTTGTGCGGCGGCGGCCCGCGCGCGCCGCGAGAGAGCCCAGCCCGGTTCCCGGGGCGCGGCGCCTTCGGGCCCTCCCCGTCTCCCCCCCCGTCCGCGCGCGCCCTCTCTCCGGCCCCGCGGGCGCCTCCTGATGCCGGGCGCCCCAGCCCGCGAGCCCGAAGATCCGTCGCAGCTAGTGGGGCCGTGCGGGCCTCGCGCCCTCCCCGCGGCCTGCGCCGCGCGGTTCCCGCTGCCGCCGGGACAGAGAGCGGGCGGGCGGGCATGGCCCCGTCGGCCGCCCCGCTCCGCCTCCTTCTGGCCGCGCCGCACAAAGAACCTGGGCCCGGGTGGCCTTTAAAGGCGGCAGCCAGGGATTTAAGGTGTTCCCGAGCGCTGCCCTCCGCCTCCCCGACGTGTGGTTCCCGCTGGGCACGCGCCCCTTGCGCCCACGTCGCCGCGTCCTCCCTGTTGTTTGTTTCCTGGGCTTGGGGAGCTTGGGGGAGGTAGGTACCGGGCTGGGGCTGCGCTCTTTCCCGCCCCCACTCACCGCGCTCCCCCGGTTCTGCGGCCCGCTTGGCGCCCTCGTTTGAAAAAACTAAAACGTGACTGGGAAAGAAAGGGTTAACCGTTGCTTTAAATATTCATGTCATTGTTTTAAAGGTGTAAACAGGCGGCTTTGGGGTTCTAGTGGACTGCATATTATGCAACACCCCCCCCCCGCCATTAATTACACCTTTCTGCAGCCCGCACCACCCCCCGCCAGTCTCATTTTTTTTTTTTTTTAATTCAGATGTGTGTGATTTAGGTCCCTTATTCTATTTGGAATTTGGAAACTCTTGAGTGCCTCCTGGGCTTAAGGTGTTTTAAACTTTTTGCCGTTAAAAATCTTGGAAGATTTAAAAGGAAGCTAGTCTCCTGAATTCCAGATTCCCCTCCCCGTCTTTATTTTTGGATAGGGATTGGAGGTAGGAAAATAACTGGATGCCTCGTGAGTTGGATTTTTTTTTCTGCCCCTGGTAGGAGTGAGGCGGTGTTAAGTGCGAGGCATTTGGTGAGGAAAGGACTGTTGTTTTTGTTCCAAACCCTTCCAAGTCAAAGTGTTGCTGGACTTTCCCAGCTGTAGAATGGCTTCAGAATTCCCATGTCTGTAACTTGATTAGCCCTGCACCCTCCTTTTGCACAGGTGTTTTCTTGTACTGTCGGAAGGTTCACTGCTTCACAGGTGTAGGTTTCAAACCAAAATCATTGCTCACCCCAAACATGGTCTTGTAAAGACAGTTTGGATGACTGCCTCAACTCAGGCTTTGTGAGATTTATTTTAAATGAGTGATGTGCTTCCCAAGGGATCGAAAACTCTATAAATGGGAATTATGTTCTTAATCATGAATTTTATAGGGGAAACTGACCTTAAAACTTGGGGTGTCTGTTATTCTGTACCCAATAAAGCATCAGCCTGGAAGTTTATAAACCCCGGGAGCGCAGGAAAGGTTTTCATTTAGCCCCAAGGCTTCAAACTTAGAAAGATTTGTTCCAGAAACTTCCAGTGGTACCCCAAACTATAAATGCTGTGATTTAGTACAGTTTATCACTTTAGTTCTGCAATGAAACAGTAAGGAGTAGTAGTATATTTTGTCAGTGATTTTGTGTTTACTAGTTAGTTGGGCAGCGTTTGCTTTCCAGAACTAGCACTGAATTAAAATATCAGAGAACTAACTTTCCACTGCTCTGTTGTAGAAAATGAACCTTGCTGTGTTAAAACAGCCATTCCAGGTTTCAAATTGTATTCTTTAGACAGGCTTCCTATTAGTTTTGGATTGTTTTGTGTACTTCTGACTCAGAATCAAAATCCATTTTTCTAAAATCAAATTTAGCATCATAAAGAATTTCATCGAATGCATATCCATTAACTTCCATTTCACCAGAAATGCCTGTTAGGCATTTTATTTTTCTTTTAGATAGCAAAAGGTCTTCCTAAAAAGTCACTTTAGTCAGGGCATCTCATTTCTAAACCATAGTACTTCCTGGTTGATAGGTGAAGTGACTCGTTTTCCTGTAATGCCACCAGCTAGAAGAACTTTTGGGACTTTTTACTCAAGATGGCACTGTGTCCTATAAGCCAGATGGCTCCTAGTTCTGTTTTCTTGGCTGCCCCTTGCAGCCACAGTTATAACAACATAGATGCAGAATGTGTCTCTAATGGTACAGTCACTTTTTAAGACTTACCTGGCTTATACATCACTGTGTCAAACCATTCTGGCCCCAGATGGCTGTTTTCCTATGATATTGGTGATTTCAGCCCATTTCATGTTTACTTTTCACTGTCATATATTCACTTGATTCTTGGCAGGTACTGGTGAGAACTCAATGGTGTTTTTGTGTTTTGGTGCTACCCAGGTGGATCTATAAAGAAACCAGCTGCGTAGGAGAGGGAGGGGAGGAGCCCGGCCGTGAGGTGTGTGGGCCCAAGAATCATGTCTGCACGGGAGTCCTTTAACCCGGAAAGTTATGAATTGGACAAGAGTTTCCGGTTAACCAGATTCACTGAACTGAAGGGCACTGGCTGCAAAGTGCCCCAAGATGTCCTGCAGAAATTGCTGGAGTCCTTACAGGAGAACCACTTCCAAGAAGATGAGCAGTTTCTTGGAGCAGTTATGCCAAGACTTGGTATGTGAACCACTGTTTTCTTTCATATCTCCCGAGTAGAGCATCTTGGATGCATTGTTGACAGTGAGTCAAAAGCTGGAGTTCTCTCTTCCCATGTTGGCCTTTTAAAATTTTTCTGCAAGAAGGATTCAGAGCAAAGCAATGGTAACTTACCTTTTAACTTATTTGGAGGAACTATTTGAAAAGCATCAAGAAATGTGCTTTAACCATTTTTAAACTCTATATGATTGAGACAACTGTTAACAGTAAAGGTATTTTTTATTAGATCAGATTAGGATAGTTAGTGGTTCCGCATTCTTGTACAGGACTGGGGGAGCAGTGACTGGGTTGGGGGGACTCGGGGCTCCTCTGCAACAAGCATCACTAGAAAAGTTCTAGGGAGAAGGGAGGAGAAAAGTGCTCCAGACACAGAAGGCGGAAACACTGGACTGGGTCTATACTTGACCCCAGTTTGACATCTGGACTTGCGAGCTGTATTTCCTTGACCCAGTTCCTGATGTCCTTAGTGGTTTACCCTTCCCCAAACATTGAGTTCAGAAAGAAAGTCTCAGCTACTGGGATGTCTATTAGCTTCTGTGTGTGCTTTGTTTAGTATGTGATGCAAGACTTGTGGTCACTTTGCCTTTTGAGTGTTAGTTGTATATTCTAGGAGCTTGTGGATGTTTTGTAGTTACAGTATGTGACTTGATCAGTTTTCCTGAATAAGGTTTTAATTGCATTTCTTTTTGCCTGTATATGATCACACTGTCTCATAAGATTGGTTTTGAACCCAGGATACTCCTTTTTTCCTGATTGTATAGAGCAAAGTTGCTTTGGGTGGGAGAGAGGAAAACTCACTTCCTGCACTCTCAGGGCCTGTAAGGACTCCTAGGAGCTCAGTTAGAAAACTGCGCTTGGGAATTCCCTGGTGATCCTTGGCTAGGACTTGGAGCTTCTAATGCAAGGAGCCCGTGTTCAGTCCCTGGTCAGGGAACTAGATCCCATATGCCACAACTAAGACCTGGTGTAGCCAAATAAATTATAGAAAAAGAAAACTGTCCTCATCTAATGTCTCAGTGTGGAAAAATACCATGTAAATGAGGTGGAGTGGATGTCAGCTTACTTGGCAAGGAATGAGAATATACTGAGAATATCGTTAGATAACTCTGTCTGGAAAAAATAAGCTACTGAATGGGCAACAACGAATGCAGTAAAAACCTCATGGGTGGGACTTCCCTGATGGTCCAGTGGTTAAGAATCCCCATTGCAATGCTGGGGACAAAGGTTCAGTCCCTGGTGGGGGATCTAAGATCCTCGATGATTCTATTCGATGCCTCGAATCACCTAAGCCTGCAGCCTACAGTTACTGAGCCAGTACGCTCTCGAGCCCATGTGCCACAAGGACTGAAGCCCATGAGCTCTGGAGTCCATGCGTCGCAGCTAGAGAGTCCGTGCACTGCTCCGAAAGATCCTGCATGATGCAGTGAAGATTCTGAGTGCCGCAGTTAAGACCCAACACAGCCAAATAAGTAATTAAATTAACAAAAAAACCCAACTTTCTGGATAAAGCAGTAATTCCCCTCTGTAGCCGCCCTCTTAGACTTACTGTGCAGTCAGACAGTTGGTCCTCCCAGCAGCCCTGTGGTGCTCAGGAAAGCTGGGTAGCCTGTTTCCTGTCACTTGGTGGGGGTCAGAACTTGAAATCCACATTTTTCCATTCCTCTGCTCACCATACTGCTTGTCATGATTTTTCAGTCCAGACATGTTTGTGGGGAAAGGAGCTACATCAGTTGTAGCTCAGCAGTGACAGCAAGGGAACCAGCCAGGAGAAAGAGTTACATAAGTGTTACTCTGTACACTCTTCTTCACCCTCCCGAGCCTCAGTTTCCCCAGCTGTAATATGGGCTAATAATACCTGTGGTTTGCAACTGTTCTGAGTACCAGAAATTATCTGTGTATGTATGTGTACCGTATCTGTATCCACATACATAATACATACGTGTTTTTATGTATAATGTATGTATGTATACACATAAGTCTGTTGGCATGTTTTAAAATTTTTTCTAAAACTGTCATTCATGTTTTCTGCAGTCTAAGGATAAGGCATAACAGTTGTAAAAGATACACGATTATTGTATTCTGACAAGCTGTTATGGTAAGTATGTCTTAGAAGTTGATATATGTGGGACTTCCATGGTGCTCCAGTGGCTAAGACTCTGCCCAGGTTTGATCCCTGCTCAGGGAACTAGATCCCATGTACAGCAACTAAGACCCAGCTCAGCCAAATAAATTAAAAATTTTTTTTAATTCTTTAAAAAAAAAAAACTTGGTACATCTGTTGCTGATGCTTAAGCTTTGTCACATGTTGACGGCTGCTGGCTCTGGAGGTAGTATGATGATTTAGGTGGTTTTTTATTTATTTATTTTTAATTTTTTTGCTGGATGGTTTCAGTCTTGCTGAAGCCTTCTAGAATTCCCCTTCAGCCACTGATCATTAAGGACACCCTGCTCTGTATTTGAGACTTCCTCTCCTTTAGCATCTTCCTTTGTTCCCACCTAAACTGTGCCTCTGTCCTGCTCTCTACTTGATATACTCATTTTCAAAGCCCATGGCCCATCATAGGCTCACCCTTTCTGTCTTCCCTTCTTGAAATTTGATAGGGGATTTGTAAACCAGTCACTATAGACTAGTGCTGTCCCAAAGAAAGATGAGCTGAGCCCCTTGTGTCATTTAAATTTTTCTAGTACAAGTAGTTCCCATTAAAAAAGAATCAGGGACTTCCCTGGTGGTCTAGTAGCTAAAACTTCTTGCTTCTAATGCAGGCGGCCTGGGTTCAATCCCTGAGGAATTAGATCCCACATGCCACAACTAAGCATTCACATTTTGCGACTGATGCTAAAGTTAAGACCCGGCACAGCCATATAAGTAAATAATTTTTAAAAATATATCAGGTAAATTTAATTCTATTGTATTTTAACTTAATATATAAAAATGTCATTTCAATGCATAATTAATATAAAACACTGCTAACGAGATACTCGGAGAAGGCAATCACACCTCACTCGAGTACTCTTGCCTGGAAAAACCCATGAACGGAGGAGCCTGGTAGGCTGCAGTCCATTGGGTTGCTACGAGTCGGACATGACTAAGCAACTTCACTTTCACTTTTCACTTTCACACATTGGAGAAGGAAATGGCAGCCCACTCCAGTGTTCTTGCCTTGAGAATCCCAGGGACGGGGGAGCCTGGTGAGCTGCTGTCTGTGGGGTCACACAGGGTCGGACACGACCGAAGTGACTTAGCAAGCAAGCAAGCAACAAGATGCTAGCTGAGATTTTTCTCAGGTCCAGGTGTTTAAAACTGAGTGTGTTTTACAGTTGCAGCGCGTGTCACTCTGGAATTGCCATATCTTACTGTGTGTGGCTGGCAGTTCTCATGTGGACAGTGCTAGACTCTCCTAAGTAAGCATGCAGTGGTGTCCTCGTGGAGATAGGACACGTGGGTGATGGGAGCTTCTTGTCAGCCCCAGGAGTGTGCTCAGGAGTCATGGTTCCCACTCTCTGATGCTGGATAGAGAGAGAAATTAACTGGTCTACAAATCAAGAAGATTGAATTCAAGTTTAAGATTCCCATGTTGGGAAATATTTAAAGCTAACTTTCAGCAACTCTTTTTTAGTGTCTCTTTGGATAGTCCTATAGTTTATATGAAAGCCTAAAAGGAAACTCCCTCTTTTCCAAAGTGAATAGTAATGTATTTGGAATACCCAGTTGTTGGAATGATCGATTTCAGGAGAATCATATGAGTTTAGTTGTGGTTCTTGCCCTGTTTCCACTTGAGTGCCGCAGAGTGGCATTAGTGGGCATTTCTGTGCACAGGCACCAAGTGAGATGTACTGTCGCCCACTTCCTGATCGCTGGTAATGAGTGTTCCGAGGGCACAGATCTGTGAGGCCTGTCATTCTGAAACAAAATCCTCCATTCCCTAACTGGATCTTCCACCAAGAGTTTCTGCTTTGCCATCTAGTGTGGTAATAAAAAAAAATTAGCCTGTCATCACGGAGTGATGTTTTACTAAACTTGATTTTATTTCTGTGTTAGTAATAATGGATCAGACCTTGACAGACTGTCCCTGGGACCTGGCCTGTCTGCCGGGGCAATTGTGAAAGCCCACACATAGTCCTGTCTGTGGGATTCTGTGTGATTTATTCTTGTTTCATTTGGGATTCTGGGTGAATCTACCTACTTCCTTTTGTACTTTGTCCTGATTTGTCCTTTGCCCATTGTGTTGCAAAGTTGAAATGCTTCCTAAGGGCCAGGGGGCATCCTCTTGAGAAATGCTTTGGGAAAACACCTCCGTTCAGGCAGGGGGCCAGTCTAGTGTTTGCATTGCAAGTGATTTTTTTTTTTTTTAAAGAAATACAACCTACAGTAACTAGTCTTGAATCTTGACTGTTTCTAAACCAATTTCAGGAAAAGGGAATTATTTCTAAATAGTCCATCAGTTGTAAGATCCTGTGGGTACCACAGTGCATGTATGCAAGCTTGATTGGAGTCGATGAATACTTGTTCCAGCTTTGTCCTTTTTCCTTTCTTGGTCATTTTTTACTAAAATGTAGAATAGCATTTTATATGTGTCAAATATTTTACAGATTTTCTGTTTGAAAAACAGAATGATGCCCAAAGATGTACTCTTGGCTAACTATGGAGAAGACAACCCAAGTTCCATCTGTGCTGTTCTCATCTTTACGGAAGTTCTCTGTGGTGCCAATCACATGATAACAGTAAAAGAAAGGAAAATTTCTCTGCAAGGCATCATTAGAGTCTCAGAATTGTACCATGTTGAAGTTGAGTCTTCATGACTAACAAATTGTCTTCTCGCCTGCTATCTTAAGCTGGTTTTGTTTCACATTTATTTCAGTTATACTTCTTGATAGGAAGCACATTGCTTTGTTGGCAGTGAGCAGTGCTCCATAAGAGTCTGGTGCAGAGCCCCGCCAGTCAGAACACTGAAGGTACAGAATGGCGCCACTCTCCCTGTTGACTTCTGGCTGACCGTGACTCCCCTCTTTGCAGGCATCGGCATGGACACCTGTGTTATTCCTCTGAGGCACGGCGGCCTTTCCTTGGTTCAAACCACAGATTACATTTATCCCATCGTTGACGACCCTTACATGATGGTGAGTTTGACCCGACGTACTTTTATATCTGCAACTGCTTACTCGCTGGGCTTGGAGTGGTGGCTGGGTTTTGCATGTGCGTGTGTGGGTTTTTCGTTTTTGTTCTGTACGAACTGTTGTTCCTCCTCCCACTGTGCCTCTGCCACCATGGGTCTGACTTGATTGCTCCCTTGCCATGCTCGGCGCCGTGTGTGAGGCAGGCAGGGCGAAGGTGGTGCTGCTCTCGTACCTGCGCACGTCTCTGCCGGCGCACCTGTTCAGTGTGTCTGGGAATGACGTGTTACTAGTTTTCTCCTTTTGTTTCCTTGTCCATGTTTTTCTTTGACATTTGTAAACTCCACCTTCCTGTGTCTCACTATCCTCTGTAACAGGACAGATCCTGCTCGTCTCTGTCCAGAAATAGCTTAGCATCTCATCACAATGAACTTGACCATTGACCCTGACTCTGGTCACTCCTCTTGCCGTGTCCTATTCCACAGGGTAGCCCGTGGGTCTCCCTGCTGATCATGCTCCACTTAAATACCCCCGCCTTCTCATTGTGGGGGTGCTGCTAGCAGCCCCTCCATCTACCCAGCTGGACCCTTCCTTGCACCCTGGCAGCTTCTGGAGGAGCCAATGAAGAGTTTGGGAGCATCCTATCTGTAGGAAGTGCCAAAGGCCCCTCCTGGTGCCAAGGGCACCGGGAATAAGGCGAGGAGGGAGTGTTCACCGCTCAGGCCCCAAGACAGGCACACGGGCTCCCAGAAACCCGTTTCATGCCCACACACCCAGCTGTCTGACCTGGAAAGCAGTGCTCCCATGCACGCCATGCCCCTGGTGTCCTACCTGACTGGGAGCCCAGGTGGCTGGAACCAGAATGCATCCTCTGCCCGCATCTCACTGAAGGACCTGAGAGCCTAGCAGAGAAGGGGCAGCACACTTCCACAGCCTGACCTGTGGTCGGCACCTCCCAGCATGCCGACCAGACTGACCCTGTTGCCTCGTAAGTGAGTCCCAGAAGGTGATCCAGCCCCCTGCCAGCCTGCCCAGAAGTTGTAAGACAACATAACGATAAACGAGCAATGAAGTGGCCACTGGAAGTGATAGTAGCTTGCAGTTTGATTACCCTTATGTCAGAAGTAAAGTAAAGTTTGTCATTTTCTCCTTTCCTGTTTAGAGAAAGACAACTTTAAAAAATTTTTTCAATCTCCCGTCGGCAGTAGAAAATCTTTTATTACCACGTTTCTATTGAGTACTGGTTCAGAGTTCTTCAATAAAACCATATAGTTTACTGGGAAATGCCTCCCTTTTTCTTTAGAAAACAGTCTGGTTTCAGGGCTAGGTATTATTCATTTCTTCCTTTTTTTTTTTTTAACCAAGATGATTTTCCTGTTTATCTCATACAGCTTTGGAAAGGAATCCAAAAATTTCTCCGAGTACATAAGACCTGTCTTCTCTGTAACCAATAAAAGTTGGCCCTTTTTAAGAATCTGTTCAGGATAAGTGACTGTTCCCACATTTTCTTTAAGACGGTTGTTTCCCAGCATTTCCACTCTGGCTCCTCTGCAACCATCCGCACCATGCCCACTTCTCTCCACCATCTCCCTGCTTTGGGTTCTGCACCTAAATAAATGGCAGGTTTCCCCTGATGTTTTAGAATGGCAAAGAGCACAGAAATGCTCTGTGCTGTGCGAAGGAGAGGTGGTGGCAGGAACATCTGAGCTTGGTTCTGTGGTGGAGGAAAGGCAGCAAGTGTGTGAGGCTCAGCCGCTGAGGCCCACATCCTGGAAAGTCCCCTCCCGGGTGCCTCTGGGCAGCCCAGCTCTCCGTGTCCGCCCCGGAAAGTCCCCTGGGGTCCTTGCTCACGTCTCCCTTCTCTTCCAGGGCAGGATAGCCTGTGCCAACGTCCTCAGTGACCTCTACGCCATGGGGGTCACGGAGTGCGACAACATGCTGATGCTCCTTGGAGTCAGTAATAAAATGACCGACAGGGTGAGTAGCAGCCTTCCAGCCCAGGGTGTGGCACCGAGGCCGTCACCCTTCTCTTTGGTCACTGGATGGTGACACAGACAGTGGTGGGGTTGGTGTGTCCCACTGTTCACATGCTCCCCGGCGGCATCTGTGGCCTCACTGCCTGACCTGTTCTTTGACCGAGAGGTGAATTCCTGTTTAGATTATTTTTGACAGGTAATTGGTTTCATCCCCACCCCCTGCCATAGTTCACCCTGCGCATAGAATTGAGTGTTCAGTAGGCCCTAGTCTGCCCCCACAATGTGCTCCTGGCCTCTGCTTGGACCAGCTCTTGGGCAGACGTGGGGGTGCATGTGAGCTGGTCTTGGGTGGTTGAGGACCGTTGAGAGAGCCCATTCAGATGCAGGCAGCCCTGAACATCCAGCACATTTCCAGAGTTCACTTCTCTTCTCCAAGCTCCATTCACAGTGTAACCTGCAACCTCTTCCAACTTGTGATAAAAGGGCTACAGCGTGAGCTGTTCCTACCTTTTTCTGTTACTCCCTGCCCCTTCTGGAAACTCTGGTTTTATGATCTTTTCTGGTTTATGATCTTTTCATAACTGTAAGTGTATAGACTCTCTTTTCTGGGTTTTCAGCTGAATGATGTGACTTTTAATTTTCCTTTTAAACCCTAGGAAAGGGATAAAGTGATGCCCCTAATTATACAGGGTTTTAAAGATGCAGCAGAGGAGGCAGGAACGTCTGTAACGGGCGGCCAAACAGTGCTAAACCCCTGGATTGTTTTAGGAGGTGTGGCTACGACTGTCTGCCAGCCCAACGAGTTTATCATGTAAGTCATTTTTCGTTTCCTGTCACCTGGCCTGGTTCGCTCCCCAAAATATCGCATGACATAAAATTCAGTTTTTTAAAGTATACAATTTACTGGTTTTTAGTATTCACAGACTTACATAACCATCACCACTGTCCAATTCCAGAACATTTTCATCTCCTCAAAAGAAAACCTTGTATTCATAGCAGCCACTCCTAACTCCCTCCTCCCCGACTCCCTGAAATCCACAAGTCTGTTTCCCCTCTCGTGGATTTGCCTGTTTTGGAGGTTTCATATAAATGGGACCATGCAACAAGTGATGTTTTATGTCAGACTTCTTTCACTTAGCATGTTTTCAGGGTTCATCATGTTGCACATGTGTTGGTACTTTATGGCTGAATAACAGACACTCCATTGTATGGACAGACCACAGTGTGTTCATCCATTCATAGGTCACAGGCCTCTGGGTTATTTCCACCTGTTGTGAGTGATGCTGCTATGAACATTCATGTGCAAGTTTTCTGTGTGGACATAGATATCAAAAAAAGACAGTAAACAAGTCTTGGTGAGGATGTAGCGACATTGCAGACCTTGTCCATGGCTGTGGGGAATGTAAAATGGTGCAGCTGCTTTTGTTCCTCAGGTTCAGTAGTCACCACATGACCCGGTAATTCTTAGGTATCTGCCCCTGGGAACTGGAATGTATGTCCACACAAAAAACTTGCACATGAATGTTTATAGCAGCATCACTCACTTGTTTGCTGTCTTTTTTGATAATAGCTGTCTTAGTGGGTGTGAGATGATAGCTCAGTGGGTTTTGATTTGCATCTCCCTGATGGCTAATGCTAAGAGCATCTTTTCACGTGCCTTCGGGCCATTGCCAGGTCTTTGGAGAAGTTTCTTTCTTAACACAAGTTGTCACTTTTTGTGATTGACATCTTATTAAGAAAACCACCTTGCCCTGTTCTCTGAAGGAATCAGAAGCTCTATTTGTGGAGTGGGTTTTGTGAGCAGGTGCCGGGTCCACGTGTTTCACAATTCCAGAAGTGTGAAAGGGTGTGTCTGTGGATTTTTAACCCACTTGGATGATTGTTGTCTAGTGTCGGGGGACCAGACAACTGTGTGGACAGTTCTTTGAACCAGGACAAGAAAGACATGAGTGCTAGTTGTGAGGGTACTTAGTGAGACAGGAGTTTTGTTCAGGGGGGCAGTCTTTCTGTTTTTAGGGGTGCCCTCTTTTTTTATTTTTGGTATTTGCTTTCTGTCTTTAAGACAGGGCCCAACCAGGGATCCTGTGTACCAAGGAAACTTACTGGTCATAACTCTGATTTGACACACTGATGCTAAAATCACCAAAACATTAGACCCATAATCGAACAGCCTGAGAAATCCCACCTGCATCTCTGCTACATACGTGTTTGTAAAAAGAAGGAACAGTGTTTGTTTCAGAAGTCTTGTTGCCTCAGAACCCTGGTAGGTCTGTGTTGCAAAGTACAGGGCATGACTAAATCAGGGCCTGATGATGTCTTTGAAGTCTAAGCAGTTTGCCTTTTTGGGAAACTAGTAAGTCATTGTCCTGAGTGTTGAAGTCGTGGCCTCTTCACTTTTCATTTAATGTTTTGTTTTGTTCATCAGTCGTGCCAGTAGTAAATGGTAAAGCTCCGCTATCAATACATGGCAGTAGTTGGCTTAAATAGGAGTGACTGCAAACACACATGTGGTCTTACCACCAGCCTTTTCTTTTGTTTAACCCATGATGAACTTATCTCCTTGGTTAATTTGATGAGAAACTGCCAGTGTTCTCTTCTTCAGGCCAGATAACGCAGTGCCGGGTGATGTGCTTGTACTGACAAAACCTTTGGGGACGCAAGTGGCCGTGGCTGTGCACCAGTGGCTGGATATTGTAAGTGACCTTCACCTTCTGGTGGCAGCAGTGTGTCTTCTAAAATGAGCTCTTGGGGACTTCCCTGGTGGTCCTGTGGCTAAGACTCCATGTTCCCAGTGTAGGGGGCCCTGGGTTCGATCCCTGGTCAGGGAACTAGATCCCACATGCCCCAACTAGAGATGCTGCATGCTGCAACTAAAGATCTCCTGTGCCACTAAGACCTGGCCAGGCAAATAAATACATAGATATTAAAAAAGAAAATCTTTTTTTTTTTCTTCTTTTAATGCACTCTTCTAGTTGTAGTACCAGAGAGTATAGTGTCAATCTAGACCTTACAGAAATCCTGGGAGTTGTCCCTATTCTTTTATTAAATCCAAGTTTCATGTATCGAGTGCTTGAAGTAGGTAAGCCCCTGCTCAAGGTTCAGAAGTACTCCATAAAGAGAATTTGGGAAACAGTTGAGTTTATCTATTCATTAGTTGCTGAGCTGGCTATATCTTATCACTGAAAATTAATACATAAGAGAATGTGTGCAAAGTTTGATATTTGAGGTATAAATAAGGCCAGGCTTATTGACAATTTAAATTATTTTAGTCATGAATTTTTTGGTCATTTCTGGTTGCTTGTTTTATCTTTTTAAGCTAATTAGTAAATCAGAACATTTTGATAAATCATCTCATGGAGAAAGCATCTAGAATATAAAGATATTTATCCTGAGTCACTTTTCTACTGCACTGTGATCAGTCATTCTTCCTTTAAGACTTTCTTCACTGCCGTAGCAATTCAAAAATGATTGTGGTATATTCTCACGTATCTCAGTGCTTTCAGTGTCTACAGTTGACATCTGAAATCACTACTCCTGAGAAACAGTTGAAAAAGAGTAATTTTATGTTACTCATCAACCAGATAGATCTTAGCTTGACAAACAGCAGAGAGAATCTCTAAGGAGGCCATATTCTTTAGATATCTTTCCCTTCTTATTCAGCAATGATGGGGACATTTCCCATCTAGTATGACCACTTGTGAATCAGACCACAGGACTTTGATTTTTACCAATTTCTTAAAGATGCTTAGAATTGAAAAAAAGCAAGTTTCAAAGACTAAGTAACAGTGTGATACCCTTTCATAAAGGTTGGAAGCAACCAAAGAGTATTGTTTGGGCATCTGTATGTATGAGGATACTGCTTTTCAAAAGGCAGGGAAATGACAAGTATAAAATTCAGAATCATCATTACCTCTCGGGGAGAGCTGGGAGGCAGGGAATAAGGGAGGTACACAGAGATAGACTTCCGTTGGGCGGTAGATTATTGAGTATTGCTAAAAATGAGTGAATTCTTGAATGCTGGCTATTAATAGACCACGACTCTATGTCATGAACCCATCATTGTGATGCTAGGCTCTCTGACTATCAGACTGGGGAAGAAGAGGGAAGACAGTGGCATTTCAGAGGATGTGCTGTGTGGTCACTCTCAATGTCATCGGAGCCAATGCTAATTTGAAGTTCTTTCCCATTCATTTGTCCTACAAGAGGACTTGATCCCAGAATTCAGGGAGAGTCCGTAAGAATATTAACACAGTTACACGAAAAACATGAAAAATGTGAGCCATCAGCTTACAAGGGGAGATGAAGAGGAGAGCCTAAGGACATTCACAGCTGTCCTGCTGGTTCACGTCTCCAGTAAACTGCAGTGTTGACCACACAGGTGTGGCTGAGAGCAAGAGAAGATGCCATGATGATACATCTAGTGGACACCTAAAATGATAATCACAGGGGTTGGGGCAGTGGGGAGTTAGAAAACTTAATCTTGTGTGCAGAATTAGATAAGTAAAACTCCTCAAGATGACTAAGGAAAAAAATAGGCTCTTTCAGTGGTTAGAAACAAAGATTGATCACATTTTTTCTCTTTTCTCCCTCATCTGTGTTCCTGTCATTAGCCTGAGAAGTGGAATAAAATCAAGCTAGTGGTCACCCAGGAGGATGTGGAGCTGGCATACCAGGAGGCGATGATGAACATGGCTAGGCTCAACAGGACAGGTATGGCCGGGCTCGGGTCAGCAAGCTTTCTGAGATGCAGGATGGGAGCTATTTCAGACTTTGTGGGCCACAGTCTCACTTGTACTGGTTTTTTTTTTTTTTTTTCCTCCTCATGACTCTCTTAACATTGTTTAAAAAAAAAAACTTAGCTGGAGGAACTGGCCATCAGCCAGATTTGGCCAGTGACTACACAACCCCTTCTGTTGATGCCTAGAGCCCTGGTGGGAATCCAAACACGTTGCATGTTCTTGACGTAAGCTCAGGGTAAATGTGATTTGCCTTAGAGGAAAAAAGATCATGCTTATTATAGGAAAGTTTTTAGAAAATATAAAAAGGAAGGGAAAAACATTGTTCATAGTCCCACCACCCCAAAATAACTTCTGTTAATACTTTTATGTATTTTTCTAAGATTTTTATCGATGTTTGGTTGGTTGGTAGTTTACTTTTATCTTATCGTTGATGTTGTAAACTAATGGTTAGCATACATTTTACTTGTGTTTGGAATTTGGCGGGGGCAGGTCATGGAGCGGGATGCCAGATCTTAGTTCCTCAACCAGGGAGGGATCAAACCCATGCCCCCTGTAGTGGAATTGCATAGTATTACCCACTGAACCACTGGGGAAGACCCTAGAATTTGCTTTTATTATTACTAAATTCTATTTTCTATATTATATAATTCTAATACACATGATTTTTAATGCTGGATGTTCTATCAGAGCAATATGCTGTAACAGATTTGCCTTTTGCCTACTTTTGAACAATTTATTTTGAAATCAAATTTTTCTATAACTTTTTTCCTGCATTCCAAGAGTATTTCTTTGGCTCTCTTCCAAATTAAGTTGAATTGTAATTATTTAATTCTTTGTTTTCTGGTATTCTCATCACTTACTACCAAGGCTTTTCATTCCTACTTTTCCTGTGCCATGTTTAAGAAGTCTTTTTTTTTTTTGTCTTTCAAATTAAGAAGTTTAACAGTTAGAAGGTGATTTGTAATGGATTTATTTTTACTTATATTTGTGCATTTAAGATTCCCCTATCCTTAAGTTTTAGACATTCTTAATAGGGATATAGTAGAAAACTTACAGAGGCGTGTTTGGTCGTATGTAGCAAAATTAAGTGTATGTTTATTTTGACCCAGAATTTCCACTTCCGTGAGTCTATCCCAAAGCTACAGTGGCCAAAATATGAAATAACATGTGTACAACACTATTCATTGAAGCACTATTTATAATTGCAAAAGAAGGGTGCAATCTAAAGGTCCATCACTAGGTGACTGACTGGGATTATCTAGTCTCCATGCAGAGTGGAATACTATACCCTGTAAAAAGGAATGAGAGATCTTTATTACCAGGAAGCTATATGTAGGATACGGCCAGTGAAAAAAGCAAAGGACAGCATATATGTAGTATGCTACATTTTGTGTGTTCATAAATAAATATGAGGCAATAATACTTGTTTTAACAGTGGAAAAATAAATCATTAACAAAAATTATTACATATACAAGAGAACAGGGAGGAAGCAGACCCTCTGAACATGCTTTGTTTCATAAGTTCAATTTGGAAATAAATGTTTTGTGTATTTTTCTGTACTTAAATGAAAAGAGCATATTTTATGGATCCAAACCAAATTTTTTAAGGTTGTCCAACATATGTCTAAGTTAGTGGCAAAATGACATGAAGAAGAATTATTTCAAATCTCTTTGAGCCTGGTGTTTTCTGGGTACATCCCTAAGACAAAAACCCACAAAAATATTTCACTGTCAGTGAGTTTGTGTTTGTGAGAATGTTGTATATTGTAAATGTAGTTAGGAACAAAGACTTCAGAGAGAAATAAGAAAATCAAAGAAGCTAAGTTAATTAAAAACTGTCATCTTTAATTTTGAATTATCAGTGTGAACTCAGGATTATTTTTTTTCTCTGAAAATGTTGATTTCTGAACCTGTTGAAAAGGCCGAGAAGCAATGATAACCAGCAAGGGTGAAGTCTTAGTGCCTCAAGTTGGAAAGTTACTGTTTTCCATTAAAAAGTACCAGGACTCCCTGTGGAAATGACAGGTTCCAGCTCTGGGACAGGAAGTATGGAAGATTAAGCTTGATTTCCTGTGCCTGGAAGGGGTGGTGGTGTCACATCCCCACAATGTCAAGGGGCTCCCACTTGTCATGGGGGTGGAGGGTACAGTTTGAATATCAAAGACCAGAGTGACCATATCAAGTATCTAAACAAATGGTAATTAAAACTTTTTGGTCACCTGGGTCACCAACTTGTTCTGAAATAAAAGTGGTCATCCTCTTATTTTACCTGTCTTGTATGGGATGAATTTCAGGGAAACCATATTTTCTAAAATAATTCTTTATCGAAGTCACATCTAATAAATACCGGAAGACTGGTTGAATTGCAAAAGTTGCCATTTTTGCTGTCCCCTTGATTAAATGAACCTCAACCACCAAACATCAGTGGCTGCTAAAAGCTTTTGGTGAAAGGTTCGTGTTGATGATATTACCCTCCCCATCACCCATGAAGGATTCTTGCCAGAAAAAAAAATGAACCTGAGTCTCTTCGAGCCTTTTCCTAAACACCAGTACGGGAAATAGGGAAGATGGTAGAACATGCCCACATTGGAGAAGATCCCCAAATCCAGAATGGAGGAGATGCTTCAGGAAAAAGTGGCTCAGTTTCTACAAATAAATGACACTGAGAGGGAACTGTTATGAAGTTTCAGAGAGAGCAGTCAAATATAGTGTGCGTTTTGCTGGTATGATAATGATATTGTGGCTGTGTTACAAGTTTTTTATCTCTTAGAGGCACACACAAAAATGCTGAAAGCTGAAGGGATATGACTGGGGTTGGCTTTAAAGTTTCCTATTGCACCTCTCACATCCCCCAACAAGTAGGCAGGAAAAGATGAGACCCCAGCAGATCAATGGTAATGCTTGAGGCTGGGTATTGTTAGGTATGTGGAAGTTCATTGTGGTGTGCTCCTCTCTCTGCTTCTGTGTTTCACTGAAATTTTTGTAATAAAAATTAGCAACAACAACAACAACAACAAATTAGCAACAGTCATTCCCTATAAGAGAAGAAGTAGTGACCAATACCTTAAAAGTAGAATCCCTTTTCCTTAGTGGCTCAGGCAGTAAAGAATCTGCCTGCAGTGCAAGAGACCTGGTTCAATCCCTGGTTCAGTAAGATACCCTGGAGAAGGGAATAGCTACCCACTCCAGTATTCTTGCCTGGAGAATTCCATGGATAGAGGAGCCTGGCATTCTACAGTCCACGGGGTCACAGAGAGTCAGACATGACTGAGTGCCTGACACTTCCTGACTGTAGGATTCAGCGTGTCCGCTTGTTTACTCTGGTCCTCAGAGCTTGTCTAGGACGGCACTGGGAAGAGCTGTAGTGTAGGTCACGGCTTTGTTGAGTGTCCTTGACTGCCCCACTGTGCCAGGTATAGGTAGGTGTGTTAATAGGACGGCCTGTTCTCAGTGTTGCTTAGCTAGCACTATGAACCAGAATAGGGTCAACTCTTTACTCAGCATGTGTTGTTGAGGATATACCTAAGTAAAAGATTCAGGTCTAAGGAAAGATAAAAGAGAGGTTTTATGTACTTGTGCTTAGTCGCTAAGTTGTGTCCGACTCTTTGGGACCCCATGGACTGCAGTGCCACGCTCCTCTGTCTGGGATTTCCCAGCGAAGTATACTGGAGTGGGTAGCCATTCCCTTCTCCAGGGGATCTTCCTGACCCAGCGATAGATCCCAGGTCTCCTGCATTGCAGGTGGATTCTTTACTTTCTAAGCCACCAGGGAAGCCCAAAGGGAGAAAATGTATATCAAAAAGAAGGTCTTTCCTAGTGGTGTAGTGGATAAGAATTCACCGAGCCAATGCAGGGGACACAGGTTCAGTCCCCAGTCTTGGAAAATTCCTCATGCCATGGCGCACCTCAGCCTGCATGCCACAACTACTGAAGCCCACACGCCCTAGAGTCAGTGCTCTGCAACAAGAGAAGCCACTGCAGTGAGAAGCCTGAGTGCAGCAACGAAGACCTAGTGCAGCCAAAAAAAAGAGAAAGCATTTACCCCAGAGCACTTCTGTAAACATAGGGCATATTTCATTTCATGAGAAAGACATTTAGTTTTTAAAAATTAGCAATTCAGTTACTCCCCCCACCCCCAAATGAAATACATAGGTGTGACTCTAAAAACATGTCCAAGCTCTGTATGAGGAAAACTATAAAACTGATGAAACAAATTAAAGATGTAAATAAATGGAGGTATTCCATGCACATGGATAGAATTCAGTATTGTCAAGATGTCAGTTCTTCCCAACTGTGGGTATAATGCAATACCAGTTGCAGTTCTAGCAAGTTATTTTGTGAGTATCAGCAAACTGATTCTGAAGTTTATATGGAAAAGCAGTGGACCCAGAACAGCCAACACAGTGTTGAGGTTGGAAGAATGACACCTCCTGACTTCAAGACTTCATATAAAACTGCATGGGATGGAGAGGGAGGCGGGAGGAGGGAACGGGATGGGGAACACATGTAAATCCATGGCTGATTCATGTCAATATATGGCAAAAACCACTACAATATAAAAAAAATAAATAAAAAAAATAAACCAAATCTAATTGGAGAATAATTGTAAAATAAAAATAACAAACCAAATCTAATTGGAGAATAATTGTAAAATTAAAAAAAAAACAAACTGCAGACATCAAGACAGTCTGTTGTTGGTTTAAAAAGAGAGATCAATGGAATAGAATAGAAAGCTGAGAAATGGGCCCGCATAAGTATAGTTGAACTGATTTTTGACAAAGTAGCAAAGGTAATTCAAAGGAGAAGGATAAATCTTTTTAAACAAATGTTCTTGAAAAATTAGACATCCATAGGTAAAAAATGAATCTGGACACAGGTCTTAAAACAATCATAAAAATAAACTCAAAATGAATTGTAGACCTAAATGTAAAATGCAAACCTGCTAAACTCCTAGAAGATGGCATAGGAAAAAACTTGGGTGATCTTGGGTTTGATGATAGCTACTGAGATAACACCAGAAGCACAATCCATAAAAGACAAAATGGACAAGTTGGACTTAATTAATATAAAAAACTTCTCTATAGAAGAGACTGAGTATGAAAAGACAAGCCACAGATTGGAAGAAAATCTTTACAGAACACATGTGACAGAGGACTGGTATCCAGAATTTTCAAAGAACTCTTAAAACCCAACAATAAGAAAATCCAATTAAAAAATGGGGGGAAGATCTGAGTAGATACCTCACCAAAGAAGATATACTGATGGCAGATAATTATGTGACAAGATATGCCACATCATATGTCATTAGGGAATTGCACATCTACTGGAATAGCTAAAGTCAATACCAAATGTTGGTGAGGGTGTGGAGCAACCCATTGTTGATAGGAATGCAAAATGGTACAGCTGCTTTTTTTTTTTTTCCCCTTAGCTTTATTTATTTATTTTTTTTCCATTTATTTTTATTAGTTGGAGGCTAATTACTTTACAATATTGTAGTGGTTTTTGCCATACATTGACATGAATCAGCCATGGATTTACATGTGTTCCCCATCCTGATCCCCCCTCCCACCTCCCTCCCCATCCCTTCCCTCTGGGTCTTCCCAGTGCACCAGCCCTGAGCACTTGTCTCATGCACGTCAATGTTTGTCGTAGGTTTATTCAGAATTGCCAAAACTTGGAAGTAGTTGGTAAATATATAAATTTATATAAATTAATATAAATATTAAAGTCTTTCGGTAATTGGTAAATATATAAATAAAATGGTCCATCTAAACAGTGGAGTATTACTCAGTACTGAAGAGAAGTGAGCTATCAAGATATGGAGGAGCCTTAAGGACACATGACTAAATGAAAGATACCAATCCAAAAAGATCAAATACTGTATAATTCCAACTCTGACCTTGTAGAAAAGGCAAAACGAGGGAGAAAATTGAAAGATCAGGGGTTGAAGGAATGGGTGAAAAGGTGGAACTTGGGATTTCCAGGGAAGTGAAAATACTGTGTATGATACTCTAATGACGGGATAGGCGAGTTCATACAGCTGCTGCACGCATAGACACCAAGAGTGAACCCCAGTGTAAACTGAGCTGGAGTTCACAGTAACGTATGAGTGCTGACCTGTCATGGCAGCACCTTGATGCTGGCTGTTCCTGTAGGAGAGACAGGACAGGGACAGGACAGCAACTTTCTGCTAAGTTTTCTGTAAACCTAAGACTATTCTAAAAAATAAAAATTAATTTTTTAAATTACTAAATAAAAGATTAACCTTTCAGATACCAGGAATGTACCTTGAATTTAGATCAGACAGTCTTAAAAGGTCTTGTTCTTTGATTTTAGGAGAGTATGACAGGTTTATCTTCCGTTGAGGTAGCATTTCCTCTCTACAGATAGTTTACTAGGGTTTTACTGTTGGTTGAAGCTGCTGTTCTGAGTGATTCAAAATGAACTACAAAACCAGCTTTCAGAATTTCACTCCAGGTTTTACCGATCTTTAAAATCCAGCTTTCATCATTCCTGTCTGCTGTCTTCCTGACGATTTAGCAGTTTTGAGACCAAAGCATCTGTAAGATTTTAGTTGAGGAGGGGTGTTTTCTAGGAGTCTGTTCACGATACCATATGTCAAAGGCTTCTCTGTTCTCTGGCAGCGGCAGGACTCATGCACACATTCAATGCCCACGCGGCTACTGACATTACGGGCTTCGGGATTCTGGGCCACGCACAGAACCTGGCCAAACAGCAGAGGAATGAGGTATCCTTTGTGATTCACAACCTTCCCGTCCTGGCCAAGATGGCAGCTGTGAGCAAGGCCTGCGGAAACATGTTTGGGCTCATGCATGGGACCTGCCCAGAGACATCAGGTACCAGGGCCCTGGCCCGGGTCAGAGGTTAATGCTAGTGAGGCCAGTGGGACCTTCCCAAGGAGGGGGAAGCCAGGTCTGGGAGCAGGGCCCCAAGGTGTGAGGTCTTGGCTGGGAGGATCTTCAGCCTGCTGCCCTCAGCCACGGTGTGTCCGGCCATCCTTCCTGTGATAAGCAGTGCTGTTTTCAGTTCATTGTTTGTGTGTTTGGTGATGGGATGGGAAGAAGGAAGGATACGGGGAAAATAGGTCATCACTCAGTTTCCATTGGAAACTGAAGAAATAGCCAGTGTATCCATAGGTTACATTGACGAGGCTGTATTTTTTCCTTGCAGAAGTCTAAAATTGCTGTTTTAAGAATGAAATAGTACATGATATCTCCAAATTACCATTTTTCTTTTTGTCCCTTTTTTTTTTCCTTTATTGGGATTGGTTTCATCCTTTCAGTTCTATCCCCCATCCATACCTTCCCTCCCCCTAGTTTCTCCTACTTCTATTATTCTTCCTCTATAACTCAGTTACTGTTTCCCTGTCCTGGTAAAAGAGTTGAAACATCTGGGAATTAAGTAAAGTTCCCATGCCTAGACTGAAGCCCTAGGTTAGTCAATCTGAGGTGGGCCTGGTCATGAGAAATTCTGACCCCTGGAGGCTAAGACCACGAAGCCCCACCCAGGCACCAGCCCTGGGGGCAGGGATGGGGGGAGATCATCTCAGATGGGCCTCTCAGCCATAGAGAGGACCCTGCCACTTCCTGACCTCAAAATTACAAAATCCACTCCCTCGAAGTATGCTCCAAGAGGGAGCTGGACTATTGGTAGAACAGCACCTGCTGCCTGGCAGGTGTGGAATCAGTGTGAATAAACTAATGAATATTCCTAATAACAGTCTGTCTCTATTAAAAAATGGGAAGTTTCTCATTTTTTTCAAAAGGTCATATATATTTTTTTCCCAATTATGTTTCTTCTACTTACAAATACATGAAATTATTCTGGCCTAGCTACTCGGGATTTATTTTCACATATTTTGTATTTTTCTATTTTGAAGTTAATGACAGAGCCAGTGACAGAACCTAGATACTTTGAGGCACACACACTTCTATGGCCTTAGTTTTTAAATTAAAAACAAAAAACATGAAAAGCCTTTTCTGGTAAACTGAGGACTCCATGTAGAGAATCAGATTGAAAATGAAAAGTTCTCTTTTGTTAATCCTTACAGTGGTGCCTGGGAAAGATTGGCTCCACATACCTTACTGTGCCTCAGACACTTCACTCCTACACAGCATCAGATGATTCACAAGGAGGGTGTTTTCATGACTTAAAGTTTGTTGTTGTGTGTGTTTTGAAATATAGTAGGAGTTGAGCAAGGAATCACTTAGCGACTCCACAGTGCAGTCTGTGGAATAAATGTGGGCAGTGCAGATCTCTTCTGGGGAGATAGCGGCATCACCGCTAACGGTGTTCCTTTATTCTTCTTTCCCTTTTGCCAGGCGGCCTCCTGATCTGTCTACCGCGTGAGCAAGCAGCTCGATTCTGCGCAGAGATCAAGTCCCCCAAGTATGGTGAAGGCCACCAAGCATGGATTATTGGGATCGTGGAGAAGGGTAACCGCACAGCCAGGATCATAGACAAGCCCCGGATCATTGAGGTCGCACCGCAGGTGGCTACCCAGAATGTGAACCCCACGCCCGGTGCCACCTCGTAATCTAGGCCAAGGCAGCTGTGTGGTTTTGTTTTTAAATAGCTCTATTTCCTTTATCATCATTTCAATTAAAGACTATAAACAACAACGAAAAATCTCATTGTGTCTACACATCTGGTGACCTTAGGTCAATTTGTGAGTGGATGCAATTAATCAAATAAAATCCATTGCCTTTTTTTCCCGTTACATTAACTGAAGATGCACCTAATCTTGAGGCAGCTTCTGAGTTGAGAATTATATTGTTATCCAATACTGTTGATTCATTTTGAATCTTTAGACACTTATCTCTTGCCGAGTAGGCTCTTTTTAAAGGTGCTTTCACGTAGCACAGGCATTACCTGTCGTAGTGTCATAGCAGTTTGTGTCTTTTCATTTTATGTATATTTATCATTATCAGCCTGATCCTTTTTGAAGTGTCTGGAATGGTGTTCTGGTGGTATTCTGAAAAGACAGGATTGGTGAGGGAGTGACACAGCAGTGTCCCAGTAGCAAGAGGGTTGCATGAGTCCTTCTAGTCTTCTAATTCAGGAGCATCTCTTTGACCCAAGAGTGCATTCAGCTAAACCAGGCAAGTGCTTAACTCTGCATGGGAAGCACTTTGAAGACAAAAAAGAAATGTTCTTTCTTTCTTTTTTTGTAGCCTTCCTAATACTTGCAGTAGTATCATTAACTGTTTTCTTTATTGATAGCAAAAAAGGACACTTTTTGCAATGTAATTAGATGTTCAATAGCACAGCAAGGAATTGCCTCTGAAAGGGGGTTCATGTATAATACTCATTTACAAGTCAGCATATAATTACACAAATAATTTTTAAATATAATCAATAATAAAGACTGTTCTGTGGATAGTCGTGTTTAATACATTTTATATTTTGTATAGTGATTTCAGACCTTTTGTTTCCTTAAAATCCAGCTGTTTAGCCTGATTCTTAGCATTATTTTGTCCTTTGCGCCAGTACTTTTCCGTGCATGCTTCCTGTGATCTGTGTGGAAACTTGCATTGGCCAGCCATGCAGCTTGAACTTCAACTTGTTATTCAAATAAATATTTAATTTTTTTTATTGCTCTTGTATAATCAGATGCCCCATTTAGTATTATTTTAGAAGCATCAAGAGGGTTTTGGCTAAAATACAATTTATTGGGGGAAAACTAGATTTTAGTTTTATAAAACTTTTAAGTCTTTCACGGGACCTATATTTTCTTGAATTAAATTTTGTAGTTCTAGAACAAATAGGTGATCTAAAAAGGTGTTTATCCGTGTTCGTTAAAAGCAGAGGCTTCCTTTTATTTTCACCTACTGAACCAGTAGGAGAGGCTCCTCTCCTCACGTGTCACACTGTCCCCGCATGTCCCACCGCCCGCTTCTGAGCGCTTCCTGCCTACAGGCACCAAAGTCGAGAATGGCTCAACTTCTTGCCAAAGGAAACCACCACGCGGGAACAAAAGCCCTGGAAGAGGCGCTACCTGGGACACGTCCTCCTTCAGGAGCCAAAGCACAGCCTCTCTGCACATGTTGCTGGAACTCAAGCCATTAACTTCAGTGTGTAGAACCAAGGGGCTGCAGCAGAACTGAAATTAACTGGACATTGGGTAGGGACTGATAACCATGTCGGTTCTCAGAAGCTACAAACCTGGTGGTCTGCAAAATAAAATGTGTTGGAAACCTCTGAGTGAAATGAACATACTGTTGAGCTTTTCTTTTTTTTTCCCCCCCCCTTTAAGGTTCGGTGTGATGGCTAAATTTGAACTACTTTCAGTGTTGATCGTGTCTTGAATGCTGATGTTTTCCTTGGTGGCTGGTCTGCCGATAAAGTGAGCTAATTGAATGATGCTCTGAGGAAATGATTGTGGAGATTCATGTTTTATAAAGAGGAAATGCTGGGTATTTAGAGGTCCATGTAACTGAGGAGGAATAACTGGGCTTTACAGGAGTGTTTCTTAGAGTGGGTCCAGAGCATACCTGCATTAGAATCACCTGGGGATGCTTGTCAGAGTCAAAAATTATTGGGCCCCAAACCAGGCTGACAGAATCAGAATTTTGGGGGTGTGGGACTAAGGGAATCAAATGAGCACCCTGTGTGGCCGGGCACACAAAAGGTAGAAGTAAATGTCTAAAGGAGTGTTGTGGGGGTCTGGGATGGGGTGGGCAACCAAGATGGGGAGAGCGATCTTCCTTTTACAGTTTGCTTTACCAGGAGTTTTTCTTTTAAGCCTTGACCATTTATTGACATCTGGGTCCAACAAAAGAAAAAACCAAGTATCCTGACCCTTCCTTAAAGAATCAGGTGACTGTCATGGACTATTTGAGTTCTTGGTAAAACCTACATAAAGTATGTTAAGATTTGGTGAATGGTAAATAAATAGGCAATTATTTAACTTCTTGATAGCACTTTAATACTTCACACTGAGTTATGTTCATCTTTGTATAGAGATCTATTGTCTTTTAGCCTCATGATATATTTGCATCCAAAGAACAGTTTGTTAGACAGCATAGCACTGGTGAGGATAGCCTTGAGAGCCTGGGCCCTGGGAAACTCATTAATTCCTTCAGGAAACAGGAGTTACTTGACAATGAATATTAAAGCTGGGCTTGCTGACTGCAGCCTGTTGAAGCATTTATTGTGATTTAGTCCAGAAAAAGAAACTGAAATATTGTGGAAGAGATGTGTACCATTCCTTTTAGTTGTGGTATTTTAAAATAACTTAGCATAGTTTCTAAGTTCTGGATGCTTAATAATGAATAAATGCAAGTGGTTTAAGTCATTTTGATCGTAGATATGAAAGCCAGTTTCCCGTCTGAACTTAGCATTGCCCTTAAAGGAGTTACATCAGAATTCTAAGTTTTACAGTGCTCTTCTGTAGAGACAAGAATAGCTCCAATACTCTTTATTTTTAGAAGTAATAAAGCAAGCATAGATATTGATGCTTCAGATACTTAACTATCATGTGTGTGTATAAGTGTATGTATGTATCTCCCTGAATTTCCACAGCTCATCATCCTTTTCCTCTAGGTTAGAGAAGCTACATAGACAGTATAATTTACTTTTTTTTTTTCATTTATTTTTATTAGTTGGAGGCTAATTACTTTACAGTATTGTAGTGGTTTTTGTCATACATTGACTTGAATTAGCCATGGATTTACATGTATTTCCCATCCCGATTCCCCCCCTCCCACCTCCCTCTTATAATTTACTTTCAATGGTAATCTGTACATTTTCTCATTAAAGATCCACAGTGAACCATGCAATTATCAAACATGCCAGGGTCCACCAGTAAAACCCACAAAGCCCTGGTCTTAAAGGAACATGGAAATAGCATTTTGTCTCTGGTTACGTCTGTGTGGAAAGAATGGGAGTGGGTGTATTTTCAGGCCTTCAGTGAAATAATTGGTAAGATGGGGAGTTCACAGATTCCAGAGACGTTCAAGAATTGATTGAATCCAAGTCTGCCACCTGCTGTGGGTTAGTCAGCAAACACTGGGTGAGTAGAGTTCTGTGTTTCATGATCCTTAAATATTTGATGTCCAATTCTGAATATGCATTTGATCTTTTCAGTGGGTTCTGATGGTTTTTCTAGTCCTGTTGCTTTTAGAGGGAGTCTGTGCTTGGGAGAACTGCATATAATAAGCCTGTTAAATCTTTGTGGGAAGAAACGAAAAAGAACTTCCAGAGTATGAAATAATGGAGATGAATAAAACTAAGAGAAACACCAGGCAGTGGAGGTTTTTAAAATGTGACATATATTAGATGTATTATTGTGCAACTTGTTTCTTTTCACTTTATATACCCTGGACCTAATTTCCTGTCATATTTAATGATAGAAATATCCCCACTCATGTTAACCCTGATGTTGTATCCCATTGTATGTCTGCAGGATACTCTGACCTTGAAATAGAAATATTGAAGTTATCTCTTATTGTCCAGTTCACTCACTTCAGTTCCGTGAAACACTATCCTTAAAATTGAAAACCCTCTGTTGTCCTTCCATGCCCAAGCTAATCTGATTTGGGGATTTTTCAAGTACTGTAGCTATTTACATAGCCCTCCAGGGCAGTCTGCTAGAGCTCACTCCTGTTGCAGTCAAGTGTTAGCTCAAACACTGTACTTTTTAAATAAATTAACAAGAAATTGCTTATGTGGCCCTGCCAAGTGGGGCAGCCGGTAGGATGATTCCTCCATCAGTTGCTGCTGAGCCCTGGGCACCCAGTGAGTCTGGGCCTCCAAGTGCAGTGTGGCATTATCTGCCTTTCTGCAGTGTGAGGATAAGCCAGCAGATTGGGAGCAATATTTTTGGAAACAAATATTTAAGAAATACCCAACACCTAAGTGGCTTCTCAGGTGGCTCAGTGGTGAAGAATCTCCCTGTCAATGCAGGAGATGCAGGTTCGATCCCTGGGTTGGGAAGACCCGCAGGAGTAGGATATGGCAACCCACTCCAGGATTCTTGCCTGGAGAATCCCATGGACAAAGATCAGACACGACTGAGCACGCATACATGCCAATCCCCAAGTCCTTGAATTGTAAAACAGAAAAATTCTGAATTTGCCATATCTTCTAAGGATCTTCCCCTCTGGTTTATAGTGTTTCCTTCTGACCCACCAACTTCTCTCCCCATCCCCTGTCCCCTCTGCCTGCAAATACTTCGCACAGAGTAATGCCTCATGCAGATCCTTAAGCCCATGACAGGTACTCACTATCTTTCTCTTTAACTAGACTTTGAACCCTCTGCTAACATGAATGGTTGCCTGCATCCTTCTCTATTTTTCCCTGTAGATGGAGACAGCCCTGGGCAAATTCGGTACCCAAGAAGTATGTGAAGTTGTGTTGGTTCATTTATCTTCATTTCGAGGCTGATAATTTACCCTAGTCCTCTTGACATTTTTTGATCCAAACAACTCCATAAGAGATAATTTCATCCATTCATCTCCCGCTGAGTTTGTACATACATGTATATATTATATCTTTTAGTTTCTAGTTCCTTCTGAAAGATTAAAAACCTCTGCACCACACATTCTCTCAATTCTTCAACTTGTTTTAATTATGGCTGACTTCAGAAATGGGCTTACAGCAAATAAAGCCCAGATCTCTTTGTCTGGAATGGATTTATAGGAAGTTTGTCTTATAAGGGTAACACACAACTTAATTACACTTGTGCCCTTTCAGTTTCAGTTCAGTCGCTCAGTCGTGTCTGATTCTGCGATCCCATGGACTGCAGCATGCCAGGCCTCCCTGTTCATCACCAACTCCCGGAGCCTATCCAAACTCATGTCCATTGAGTTGGTGAGGCCATCCAACCATCTCATCCTCTGTCCCCTTTTCCTCCTGCCCTCAATCTTTCCCAGCATCAGGGTCTTTTCAAATGAGTCAGCTCTTCGCATCAGGTGGCCAAAGTATTGGAGTTTCAATTTCAACATCAGTCCTTCCAGTGAACACTGGACTGATCTCCTTTACGATGGACTGGTTGGATCTCCTTGCAGTCCAAGGGACTCTCAAGAGTCTTCTCCAACACCACAGCTCAAAAGCATCAATTCTTCAGTGCTCAGCTTTCTTTATAGTCCAACTCTCACATCCATACATGACCACTGGAAAAACCATAGCCTTGACGGACCTTTGTTGGCAAAGTAATGTCTCTGCTTTTTAATATGCTGTCTAGGTTGGTCATAACTTTCCTTCCAAGGAGTAAGCGTCTTTTAATTTCATGGCTGAAATCACCATCTGCAATGATTTTGGAGCCCCCAAAAATAAAGTCAGCCACCGTTTGTGCTGTTTTCCCATCTATTTGCCATGAAGTGATGGGACTGGATGCCATGATCTTAGTTTTCTGAATGTTGAGCTTTAAGCCAACTTTTTCACTCTCCTCTTTCACTTTCATCAAGAGGCTGTTTAGTTATTCACTTTCTGCCATAAGGGTGGTGTCATCTGCATATCCGAGGTTATTATTTCTCCCGGCAATCTTGATTCCAGCTTGTGCTTCATCTAGCCCAGTGTTTCTCAATGATGTACTCCCCATATAAGTTAAATGAGCAGGGTGACAATATACAGCTTTGATGTACTCCTTTCCCTATTTGGAACCAGTTTGTTGTTCCATGTCCAGTTCTAACTGTTGCTTCCTGACCTGCATACAGATTTCTCAAGAGGCAGATCAGGTGGTCTGGTAGTCCCATCTCTTTCAGAAATTTCCATAGTTTATTGTGATCCCCACAGTCAAAGGCTTTGGCATAGTCAATAAAGCAGAAATAGATGTTTTTCTGGAACTCTTGCTTTTTTGATGATCCATCGGATGTTGGCAATTTGATCTCTGGTTCCTCTGCCTTTTCTAAAACCAGATTGAACATCTGGAAGTTCACGGTTCACGTACTGCTGAAGCCTGGCTTGGAGAATTTTGAGCATTACTTTACTAGCGTGTGAGATGAGTGCAATTGTGTGGTAGTTTGAGCAATCTGTGGCATTTCTTTTCTTTGGGATTGAAATGAAAACTGACCTTTTCCAGCCCTGTGGCCACTGCTGAGTTTTCCAAATTTGCTGACATATTAAGGGCAGCACTTTCACAGCATCATCTCTTAGGATTTGAAATAGCTCAACTGGGATTCCATCACCTCCACCAGCCTTGTTGATAGTGATGCCCACTTGACTTCACATTCCAGGATGTCTGGCTCTAGGGGAGTGATCACATCATCATGATTAACTGGGTTGTGAAGATCTTTTTTGTACAGTTCTGTGTATTCTAGCCACCTCTTAATATCTTCTGCTTCTGTTAGGTCCCTAACCATTTCTGTCCTTTATTGAGCCCATCTTTGCATGAAATTTTCCCTTAGAATCTCTAATTTTCTTGAAGAGATCTCTAGTCTTTTCCATTCTGTTGTTTTCCTCTATTTCTTTGCATTGATCGCTGAGGAAGGCTTTCTTATCTCTCCTTGCTATTCTTTGGAACTCTGCATTCAAATGGGTGTATCTTTCCTTTTCTCCTTTGTTTTCGCTTCTCTTCTTTTCACAGCTATTTGTAAGGCCTCCTCAGACAGCCATTTTGCTTTCTGCATTTCTTTTTCTTGGGGATGGTCTTGATCCTTGTCTCCTGTACACTGTCATGAACCTCTGCCAATAGTTCATCAGGCACTCTTGCTTCCACTGTATAATCATAAGGAATTTGATTTAGGTCATACCTGAATGGTTTAGTGGTTTTGCCCACTTTCTTCAGTTTAAGTCTGAATTTGGCAATAAGGAGTTTATGATCTGAGCCACAGTCAGCTCCCGGTCTTGTTTTTGCTGACTATATAGAGCTTCTCCATCTTTGGCTGCAAAGAATATAATCAATCTGATCTTGGTGTTGGCCATCTGGTGATGTCCATGTGTAGAGTCTTCTCTTGTGTTGTTGGAAGAGGGTGTTTGCTATGACCAGTGCGTTCTCTTGGCAAAACTCTATTAGCCTTTGCCCTGCTTCATTCCATACTCCAAGGCCAAATTTTCCTGTTACTCCAGGTGTTTCTTGACTCCTACTTTTGCATTCCAGTCCCCTATAATGAAAAGGACATATTTTTTGGGTGTTAGTTCTAAAAGGTCTTGTAGGTCTTCATAGAACCATTCAACTTCAGCTTCTTCAGCATTATTGATCGGGGCATAGACTTGGATTACCATGATACTGAATGGGTTGCCTTGGAAACGAACAGAAATCATTCTGTCGTTTTTGAGACTGCATCCAAGTACTGCATTTCGGACTCTTTTGTTGACTATGGTGGGGTCGCCATCATATGAAATGGCTACTCCATTTCTTCTAAGGGATTCCTGCCAACAGTAGTAGATATAATGATCATCTGAGTTAAATTCACCCATTCCAGTCAATTTTAGTTTGCTGATTCCTAGAATGCTGACGTTCACTCTTGGCATCTCATCTCCTGTTTGACCACTTCCAGTTTGCCTTGCTTCATAGACCTAACATTCCAGGTTCCTATGCAATAGACCTCTTAACAGCATCAAACCTTGCTTCTATCACCAGTCACATCCACAGCTGGGTGTTGTTTTTGCTTTGGCTCCATCTCTTCATTCTTTCTGGAGTTATTTCTCCACTGATCTCCAGTGCATACTGGGCACCTACCGACCTGGGGAGCTCATCTTTAAGGGTCCAATCTTTTTGCCTTTTCATACTGTTCATGAAGGGCATAGTAGTGCCCTTAGAAATACCTTTATCCTGTTTTCCTTAAATTACTTCCATAAGAGAAGACCATGCTCTTCATGGGATAGAGGTAGAAAATGTAATCCAGAGCTAAAGGAATGGAAATAAGTAGTGTGTGATTATTTTTTTTCTTATTTCCTTCCTCCCTACCCTACTACCTTCACCACAAAATGCCAGAGATCAGTGGTTCTCAACAGGATGAGAGTGTTATATGTCAAAGTTACCTGGAGAGGTTTTTCCTTGGGTTTATGGCTCACCCAGGATGAGCTCATCTCTAGGTCCTTAAAATGATCACATCTGTGTGGACAAAGAATGTCACCTGCCATATCAGTAAACAAAGGGTGTTTTGGCCACCTAGTCAGCAGCTGCCCCCTGACTGTGCAGGCTGAGGGGATTCAGGGTTGAGGAGAAAACAAGATACTGGCCCGAGATAGTTAAGGTGCATATCAAGGGAATAATTTCAATGAGCCAAGACTTAAAAAAAAAAAAAAAAAAGACTTGCATCTTCCTAAACAAAAGAAAAGTGCTAAATTCAGCAACTTGAGATGCCTCATTTTTCCTTAATAAATGGTAATATTTTGATATTTCACTACCTGGAGGTTTTATTTTGTCTGCTGTCTCAAAAACTATATATCCTGGCTTCTCCTCTACCTCTTCAGAACAGTTTCTCATAGCTCTTAGGGCTGCATCCCCGGGCTCAAGTCCTCAACAAGTCTGCTAAATAAAACTTAATCCTCCACTTTTAGGTTGTGCATTATTTTCTCTCAGTTGACATCCGCAAAGGCCCTTTCTCCAAATGAGATCACGTTTATCCTTTCAGGTGTTAGGACATGGATATATCTTTTGGAGGGATGGCTTTTGTGAGGGAAGATCAGAAATTCTGTTCTGAGGCGTCTGTTAGAAATCCTAACAATGTGAAGTAGGATATGTAGGGTCTGGAATTTATTGGAGAACCTAGGCCAGAGATAGAATTGTGGGGATCACCAGTTTACAGAGGGAACTTAATGTCACGATGCTCAAGGAGATTACTGGGGGAACTAGAGTTTAAATGATTCTAAGAAATATCTAAGCAATGGTGTAGGTATAATTTTAAATTTGCTGAAGAACTAGATTCTTTATTTTTCAATTCAGTGAGTTTGGGAAAGAGTATAGGTGATGGTGTTGACCCTTTAAATTCTACATACAAGTAGTATCAAGTAGCATATGTCCTTCTGTGACTAGCTTATTTCACTTAGCATAATACTGTCCAGATTTATTCCTTGTTGTCCCCTATGGCAGGATGTTCTTTATTGAGGCTAAATAACTTAAACCAGTATGCAGGTCAGGAAGCAACAGTTAGAACTGGACATG